GCGCCTCTTCCTCCATCCACCCCACCATCTCACGATGTGACAGGAAGCGGCGCTGAAAGGCCGCCCAGTCACCTCCCACAGCAGATAACTCTTTGAGGATGGGCAGGCGTTGGTGGATGGCCGGCACGTGTCCCACAGGCAGATGCTCTTCATCACTTTTGGCGGGAACTGTGCCGCCATCAGTCAACAAGATGGTGGCCCCTTGCGCCGGTTGCGCCACTGATGATGCGGTGATCGCTGATTGGCGCGGACCATGACTGGAAGTGATGCATGTCCCATGATGCTCTCGGCTTCCAGTGGAAACTCCCCCAACTTCGGCAGGAGATTCGAAATCTTGCGTGGAAATTCCAGAACCGGCGGCAGCAACGGCCGTCGCCTGCAGGCCCACTCCAACCTCGTCCGCTGTCGGCTCCCCGCAATGAATCTCATCGAAGATGGAGGCCACGGCGTGCAGACGGGAGTGCACCACCCGAAGCGCTTTACCCTATGATGGTAACCCGCCGGGTGGCCGGGCAGACTGCAGCTCGGCCAGCAACGCTTCATCCCCTTCTGCCGGAGTTGTCAACCCCGGGGCAGCTACATTGTCTTCTTCTTTATCCGGAGCCCTGGTGCATATCTTCCTCCTTGTTTCCATGCTAATATATGGCCACTTCTGTCACCAATTCTGATGGGTAAAAATGGAAGGAGGCTTCCCTGGAGGCAGCATGTTTATTATTCAATGATACAGCTTAATACAAAGGGGTTACGGCCCCTTTCACCCGATATACTAAGGAGGTATGTCCTCCTCACTAGGAGACCTTCCTTGTTGTTTTTTCTCTCTCAGCGCCACGGTGGCTCGGATATGTTAACTACCTCGCCTGGTATATAAGCGAAGTAGATTACCAACATCCCCCCCCCCCATACTGTGACCGGTGCTGTGTACTAGGCTCGTGTTGAGTCCAAGTAATAAAAATAAAGCAAAGTTCCTTCCCTTAGCAGCCTCACACCTGACCACAGTAGACATCTATGTAGCAACAATAATAGGTTTTACCCTTTCTGGGAGTTAAGATGTGCAAACACCAAATAGATACCTTTGCAAGGCATAATTATCCCAGCATGTTTGCATGTTTTCCACAAATACGTGCGGCTAATTCAGACTTGATTCCTTGCAAAATGTATCTATTTGGTGTTTGAATATCTTAACATGATATCTCAATACTATCTTACTGCCTGCAATCGACCTCTCTCTTTAACCACGCTAGGAGATGTTATCTACCTCGCCTGGTATACAGAGGGTTGTGGGTTCGATCCCTACCCTGACAGTGCCTGCTGTATATTTGGAGTTTGTGTATCTCTCGCCCCGTGGTCGTGTGGATTGTTCTCCGGGTCCTCCGATTTATCCTTCCACATTTAGAATTAACATGCGTTTAGATTATTTGGCTGCTATAAATGTCCACACGATAAGCGTCTTCGTTGAGCTGTAATTTGTGATAGCCAGGTCTCTTCTGAAAAAGCTACATCGCTGAGTGGGCCTTACCTGTAAAAATAAACCAAATATTTGAGAATGTTATAGTTAAAAAAGTCATCATAATTGCCACTTGAACGCCACTCTTCGTGAGTGTAGTGTCGTGTAGAATCAGCCGGACACGTTGTTCCAAAACACCTGCTTACACTTTATTACTCTACTCTTGCACCAGTTGTAGGCACTCCTATCTCTGTCTATACGGTCACTTTGTTAACCAACTTCCCCTATCTACTTTACACCTCACTGACCTGTCTGCGGCAGCTCTTTCTCTCAGCAACTCCGCACTCACAACTCCGCACACAGACTGTAGCTCACACAGAGCTTGCACGCAGCTGTGCTCACACAGGGCTTGCACACAGCTGCGCTCACACAGAACTTGCATACAGCAGCGCTCACACAGAGGCGTCGCTCACACAGAGCTTCGCTCACACACACACAGCTGCTCTCCCCCTTTGCTGCTGCCCTCGCCTACGTTCCCTCAGACCCACTCACTCGTCCGATCCGGGTGGGGGGATCAACCATCACCCGCCCGGTGACTCGTGAGTATTGAGTTCCGTCTTTGGCTTGAGTAGCAGCGGCGAGATGTCTTCACTTTGGTCCCAGCAACCCGCGACTCCCGCTCCGCTCTCGCGCACCCCCTTATATCCTCCTCCCAATTATCCAGCTCCTCCCTTCTGTCTATTTAGGGCCAAACAGGCTGGCACCTGTCACGCCATCAATCACCCCTTATCGCACGCCTCCCTGGTGAAACCTCTGGTGGCAGCGTACAACCCCGAGCCGATCCCGTCTGCAACAGATTATCCCGTTAATGAGGTGGAGGTTTGCTCGTGCAACCTTACGTTGTACACGCGCACCTGCCTGCCCTCGGTTGCCCTTGGCCAGCAGTGCGCACCGCGTATTTTACCACACTACATGAGGATAAACTACAGCAAACAGCAACATCTGCCCATTTAATAACTAGGGTTTTCCCCTTTTTTCTGGCAACAAAACTGACACCTTTTTACAAGGATTCATGTCTGCATTAACCACAATACCTGCAGTCAAAATGCAAACAAAAAACATACTATGATAATATATGCATTGTCCTTGAAACTGATTGGTTCACACCAAGGGACGCATTTTGGCGTCATCTGGTCGAGCACCAATTGGGTCGAGGCTCAAAAGAAAGCCGTCCCTTGGTGTGGACCAATCAGTTTCAAGGACAATGCATATATTATCATAGTATGTTTTGTTTGCATTTTGACTGCAGGTATTGTGGTTAATGCAGACATGAATCCTCGTAAAAAGGTTTCAGTTTTGTTGCCAGAAAAAAGGGGAAAAACCCTATTATTACATTTTGGTACTGGCAAAGGAGGTCTAATGATGTATCTGCCCATTTCTTAATATTTCGAACGTCAAAGCCAGCGACAATTGAGCTACTATCTTGATTTGAAGCTTTCGTGACTGCAGGAATGCATACTCTTTGGTTCTTTCAGCTAAAGTCACGTAGGTATAAAATAAAATAAATCATGACGTTTTGGGCGCAACACAAGCGTCCCACCTGATGACGGACGCTTGTGTTGCACCTGAAACGTGATTTATTTTATTTTATACCTATGTAGTGTTTATAATGACGAATAAACTTATTATGAGGCACTCTGTTTATTGTAATTCTTCTCTTACACAGTCCTTAACACACAGAGGGTTATACGGTCCCCTCACCCGATACCCTAAGAAGGTACAGCCTCCAGACTTAGCGTGACCTACACACAGGTCTCTTCCTAACCTAAGGAGGTACAGCCTCTTATCTTGTCGGGACTTACTCACACGTGTACCGCTATCCTAGAGTCCTCCGGCTGGGACCTAGGGAAGGCTATCTGACCCACCGCTGGCCCGGCGGGTCTTGACCACTGGATACGTCGAGCCTTAGCCCTCAGAGGGGCTGGAAGCCTGGGTCCAGGGTCCTGGCTATCTTCAGCCCGGGCTTCGGTCCTCGTGTAGGGAGAGAACTCCCCGCGCTCTGCGCGGTCACCCTTCTTATACCCGTTTGTGGCCAGGTGTAACCAATCCCACATTCCCACGTGGAACTGTCTGATTGGTTCTTACCAAACTGTGGCTACGATCCACTTCACCTCGTCTGACCCCAACCGTTATGTACACAGAGGTAACACTGCACTGCCCCTTTGATACCTAGTGGCAATGCAGGTTACCGAACAGTGAGTAGTTACTCTGAGGTTAATCTGAATAATCTAAATAAAGATTACGTCTCTGATTAATTTGGCGACTTCCTGCTGAGTACGTTTTTTTTTCTCCACATTGTTACTCCGCGCAGGCACGGATGCCAAACGGTAAGCAACAAACAGCACCATCGCATTTTCTAGAAATCGGAGTTGCGTAACACGTGAGTTGAAATTGAGGTCGGTCACGACAGATTTGGGAGGGAATTCCCAAATAAAGAAGTTCAAGCGAAGAAGCAGCTAGAGGAGTGTTGTGATCTGCAGCGTGGTGAGTTGGTGAGTGGGTGGATGAGTGTGTGAGGAGGTGAGTGGGTGGGTGAGTCGGTGAGTAGGTGCGTGGGTGGGTGAGTGAGTTGTTGGGTGAGTAGGTGGGTGGGTGAGTGAGTTGGTGAGTCCGTGGGTGAGTGAGTTGTTGTGTGTGAGTGGGTAGGTAAGTGTGTGAGTTGGTAAGTGGGTGGGTGTGTGTCTGAGCAGGTGTAGGGGTTAGCGCGCTGCGCTATGAATCTGGCTGCCCGAGTTTGATTCCCGCTCACGGCCAAAACCAGTGACGATTACATGAAATGGTTCTGGGCCTCCCCTAGGTCGACTCGGCCTCAAAATGAGTACCTAATGCATGTATAAACATTGCCACTAGGGAGACAAAAGCGGTCGAGCGTGGTGCTGGCCACCCATCCTCTCGTGTGCCGTGACGGTCTTCATAGTTGCTCGCTAACAGCACTTGCCCCAGTAGTCTGTTAGGGCTTTACTGGAGACCGTTGTCTTTTGTGTGTCTGAGTAGGTGGGTGTGTTACTGGATGGGTGAGGGAGTGAATGAGTGCTCGCTAACAGCACTTGTGCCCAAAGTCTGTTAAGGTTATATGGTAGACAGTTGTCTTTGCAGGTGAGTGAGTATCTGAGTGAGCAATGAGTGATTGTTTGAGTGTTTTGTGTAAGTGCTTTGTTGTAACCTGCAGTGTTGGTGGCGAGTGAACAAAATATTGAGCAGATAAACGAGTTAGTATTTTGGACAAAGAGTCCCCATCACGGGAGGAGGAATCAATGAGTGACATTCAAGGGATCAGTAACCGCGTTATTATCAAGATTAAGAGTAACAGGGAGGCTACTGTCTGCTAGTGAGCAAGCGAGCGAGTGACCGGGGTTAGCGCGATCTGGGTTCATCAATCACTCTGACCGCTTTCTAACGTGGGCTGGGCTGTTGAGATACGGAGGCACTGCCTGCCAAAGCTCAACCACGCGGAAATGTGACCGCTTGAATGTTGATCTCCTCCTAACTGCGGCAGACAAGAAGCAAGGACAGCCGAGGACGGCTGCAGGCAAGGGGGGCAGAGGCCATGGAAAGAATCGGGGCAAGAAGAGACGAGGACGCAAGAGGAAGGGAAACCCCAACTCGGCGCCGAGTGGGAAGGCAGCTTTGCCAACGATGCAGCAACCTTCGATCTTGGACCTCCGAGGTCTGTATACCCAGAGAGGGAGCGGCTGAAGTGAGGACACAATCGCGTTTCTGTCTCACCTGACGTGGAGATTTAGGGCTGGTTATTAAAAAAGTGGAGCGATGCAACTACTACATTGTGCTGCTGCGTTGAGCCAGTGATGCACGATCAATAATAAGATTTTAAAAGGAATGCAATTCCTGCTCATGCGCTAGTGTGATCCTGTCCGTCTAAACACACGCTTCACGTTTGTGGAAAGGTTTGAAAAAAAAGGTACGTCCAGGCTTGATGTAAATGTAGACGTAAAGGGCACCACAGCGGTTAGGAGATGTTTACTACCTTTTCTGGTATACAGGAGGTCGTTGGTTAGATCCCGACCCTGACCCCTGTATTTTTGGAGTTTGCATGTATCTCTCCCTGTGGTTGTGTAGATTTTTTTTCCTGGTCTTGCGGGTTTTCCCTCCACATTTAGAAACAATGCGTTTAGCGTATTTGGCTGATGTAAATTTCCACATAAGCCACTTCGTTAAGCTATAATTTGTGGCCAGGTCACATCTGAAAAAGACCTACGTGGGCCGTATCTGGTAAAATAAAAATATATAGTTGAGTTTAGAGTTTAACTTGGTTTGTGAATGCCTCAACCGGCTGTTTGTTTTTAAAGTCCTGACTGCCCGTTTGTGTTAAAGGCTTCTGATTGGTGTAGGGAGGCCTAAAAAAGGATTGGTTATGGTCAGATAATTAAATTGATTGGAGGAGAAATTCCAACGTTAAAGGCGGGGAACCGATGATTGACTGCCGGAGTAATGGTTGTCAACCGTTAGAGAAGAAGGACGAGGATTGGTTGAGGGAAATTGGGCGAGACAACCTTCGAGAAAGGGGGCTGGAGGAAATATAAAAAGGAGATAACTCAAGGGGAAGGGATGGTTGGAGAGAAGACGAAGTTCAGGCCTAAAGAAAAGTGTTCATGTCTACAATGAAGGCTCTTCATAAAGCAAGAATGTGTGTCGGTCGTTGTTACATATTTATAATCAAAAGGGCAATTTATTTTGCTTTACTTTGCTTCATTCACAAATTTGTACCATGCGAATTTATTGTTAAATTAGTTAAACAACTTCGTGCACTTACGAGTGTGTGTGAATATGAGAATACATGCCTGCCTTTTAGGGGAGAAAGTGGAGGGCTGCTTCTACTGTGTGAATGTATCTTCCCTCCATAAGAGTGTTTTTTTAGGTTAGTAACGAATTGCCATGTTTTGTTTACGTGAGAAACCCTACAAATTGGCTTTGTCAGGTGTTGGCGGGTTTAACGACACATTTATGTTTACGCAATCTAACCCAAAAACCTCTATTATGGATAATATTGGCCGCGAAAGCCTCCTACGTGTTAAACCACCTCTTCTCTCCCTTCTCGTTCATACAGAAAGCAGACCTACGGACACGTCTACAAATGCACCGAGAGCGGTCACTGGCTCAGCCCCGGGCTCTCGCCCCATTGGAAACCCTCAGACATATCTGGCTAGAAGGCGTCAACATTTTGCTGATTTGCTCAGACATCTGGGCACACATCCCCGGGCCGCAGGAACATTGCCAGCTGTGACCCCCCCGAAGAGAGCAATTCGGGGAAATGGTAAAATGAGCCCCAGCTATCCCCTGCCCCCTTCAACCTTAAACAGCCTCCCAGCGACCACCTCCAACCCCAACAACCAAACGTCTGTCTTGATCTCCCAATTGCACTTGCCAGCTGGCCGTCAACAGGTCGCCAAGTGCCAGTATGGGCTCTCGTTTATGGCGCGACTGCTATCCCGCGGAAAACCAAGGAGGCCACCAGCACGCCCACACAATAAAATGGCGGCGGCATCGCTGGGATTTGGTTTGCAAACGGTGGTGTCGATCACAACAGCAGCGATGACGACGACGATGGTGCCAGGGCAACAGACCCCATTCTTCACAACAGCAGCAGCAGTGGCGGTGGCAGATGGGCAATCGTTTTACCATGCCGGCAAGAACGCGTTGAAGGCCACTGCCTTTGCAGGCACTGGTTTGAGAGCAACGATTGCACCAACGTCGTCTGCTCTCCAGCCTCTGGGTAGATTAAAGGTGCAACCGCTCGTGAATGGTGACAACGTCGCCGCTGGTGGCACAGTTATTCTCAAGGCAAAGCGCAACAAGGGCAGAAAGAGAAAGAAAAGTGCCGCATTACTCGCGACACATTCACTCGATAATTCACCAGCAGAGAAGCCCTCTCGTTTTTCTAGGCTTTGGCTTACTTAGCGACTGGCGGTTAACTACCAGTCATAGTTACAATAGAATGCAGGGTCTGCTGTGGACTTATAAGTAAGAATGTTAGAGGTTCTAGATTTAAAGTTTTCGTGACTGCTAGGATCCATACTCTTTGGTTCTATTGGGTAAAGTCACGTAGGTGAAAATAAAATAACAAAAAATCACGACGTTTCGGCCACAACACAAGCGGCCTTCATCAGGTGAAGGGACGAGACTGTCTGGAGGACAGCGCTGGAGTGGAAGAAGCCACGCTTAGATCACGACCTTTAAGCTGTGTGAGAAGAAAAAGACCAAGCGCCTTGACAAAGGAATTAGCATATAATTTAGCATTAAAATGGCTCATTGAAATAGCTAAGTTAAAGGATACACATCCGCAGAGGTACCCCTTGACAAAGGAATTAGCATCGAATTTAGCATTGAAATAGCTGAGTGATTAGCTTGTAACTGGTCACAGAAATGGCTGTGTTAAAGTTAGAGCATATACATTCACCGAGGCACCTAGTACTCATCAAACAGGAGAATTTAGCGAAACACAACCACGCTCAGACATCGGACCTGTGTGCGAGCAAACAAGGTGTTCTGACAAAGAAATTAGCATAAAAATTAGCATTTGATTGGCGGATTTTAGGAAAGAGGTGGTGTACGTGCCGGTGGACTTGCAGTTTGGCGCGGGGGGGGGGGGGGGAAGGGGGGAGGGGGAGTTTACCTATTGATGGTGTGAAAAGGGGGAATTTATAAGAGCTGCGAAAGTTTAGGGTACCACTACTTGAAAAATATACTGTACCATTGAAATTAGTTTAATGTTTAGTTCGATTTAGAACATCTTTCCAATGGTTGCTTAATTTGAAACCATCCTCTCGGTTGAAATTGTGTTTGTAGATCTGAATTGCTTCATGAACAAATCTCTGATAAAAGCCCGTGGGTTTGCAAAGAACCTTGGTATCAGAGAAAATTATATCGTGATCCCCCACAGCGTTGTAACAGTGATCAGCCACGGCAGAAGAATTCGTTTTGCCGTGTTTCAAATCTGATTTGTGCTCGCGAATTCGGTCAGAGACATGTCGCTTTGTCTCACCGATGTAGCAATCACCGCAGGTACAACTTAATTTGTAAACCCCGGGGTACTGTAAATCAGGAATGACATCCTTCACGGATGGGATCAGATCACGAATTTTGTGTACTGGATTGAACCGGACCTGGATCTTGTGTTTGTTTAGAATTTTGGAAATCTTTTTAGTAACGCCTGCTATATATGGAAGTGTGATGGTTTTGACCGGAGTATAAAGTGGTTGTTTCTGTATGGAGGGAGAGACAGCTTGGCGGATGGTACGGTCAGAGTAACCATTCCTTTTGAGGGCCAGGTGTACTTTAACTTAGCTATTTCAATGAGCCATTTCAATGCTAAATTATATGCTAATTCCTTTGTCAACGCGCTTGGTCTTTTTCTTCTCACACAGCTTAAAGGTCGTGATCTAAGCGTGGCTTCTTCCACTCCAGCGCTGTCCTCCAGACAGTCTCGTCCCTTCACCTGATGAAGGCCGCTTGTGTTGTGGCCGAAACGTCGTGATTTTTTGTTATTTTATTTTCACCTACGTGACTTTACCCAATAGAACCAAAGAGAATGTTAGAGGTCTAACTTTTGTCTGTTTTCTTATAGACTCTTTGCATTTATAATGAAATGTGTGAATAGGATAGGCCGAGGCTTGGGCATGTAACCCCAAATAGGCCCTGAATCAGTTGGTTAATCGTATCTAAGTAGCCACATCTTTATTCATAGAGAAATCACAACAAAGTTTGTCGTTTGGTCATACTTTTTTCCGGGGAAATAGATATACTGTGCTTTAATCACGTTCCGAATGTGTGGCTCGAATGACAGATCTGGGTAAAAACATGACCTTCTCATTTCCCACTTCAGTCCTGAAATCATAAGGAAAGCTATACCAGAAGAAATCATGTTGGGTTCATAGTCAACTTAGAGCAATCTGTTTGGTTCCAGGCTCCCAACAACATCACGTCAGTTTGATCCCAACTTAACGTTGAGAAATGTCATCTTATACATTTTCACGTCAGGAAGATAAACCATCAGTGTACTTTATGGCTGAGGTGTTGCCTGGTTTAAACGATAAGTACAGCTGAGTATGGTCAGAATAGCAATGCAAATGCTCCTTACTGGATGTGAACAGCATCGCCCAGGAGTAGCAGCATCTACAAATGTGACTTAACGGAACTCTATGCAGCATTGTATGGCAACAATCTTTCTGTCCTTACGCTATTATAACATATTGCATTTTTTTACACTTTTAGAGATATGATTTCTGTCCTCCAGTCTTGAGCCTTAAATATGTGGTGTGAAGATGTCATCAATGTGCAGCCACAAGGCAGCAGGAAGTGGTAGGGGGTGATACCTGGAGTTTAACAGATTGCCATAAATATGCATGTTGTTAGATTATCATAAATTATGTTCGCTAAATGTCGGACAACATAATTGTTAAATGTGTGTGGATCACTCTCCAACAACACACGAGTGGTGCTGCTGAAGCAGTCATAAATTAGCATGTTTATTCACGTGACAACATTCTTCATTGGTCATGTCGGGTGGAGGGAGGTATACGACACACAGCTTACTCACGCGATCTAATTCTTATTGGTCGCCAAAACCAATACGTTAGAATGGTCAACAACATTGAAAACGACACTTGGCTCTTGACAATGAATGGCCAATAGTTTTGAAGGCTACTGACGTAACAAAAAGCTAAGCCCATACCAGAAGGAATCAGCACATCATTCACTACTCTAGTGAACAACAAAAACATGGGCAGCCAATACGCCTTCTTCCAATTATTTGTCCCCAATGTGAAAGTATTTTTTTCCACAACACATCAACTACATGGACGTCTGAGAGTGAATATTGTCAGCAGCATTGGGTTCATTTCAAGCAAATCTCTGTAATTATGTGCTCCCAGAAGCGTACCGTGGTGTTTGAACATCTTATGAGAGAGGACGACAGAGGTTGGATAATTGTTGGCAACTGCTCGCCACGTAGCAGCCTCCCTGCTTCTCTGTAGTTCCTCATTCTTGAATCGTTTTCTCTCTCCGAGAGTGAATGGATACTCTGCGACGCGGTATGATTTGAAGTTTTTGCTATTATTACCAACGCAAAGGCAAATAATCAGATGTTTAACATGTATGCTTAAAATAGTCGCAAATAAAATGTCAGACCTAACTTAGATTGTGAGGATTTTTCGTGAACTTCGCCGGTGAGCAGATAGCATAACCATTGGCGCCGTTCAATGCTTGTGCACCACGTGACAATTTAAGTTGGTGGAGGGTTTTTTTCACAACACTGATTGTATCTAGGAATAGGTTTTACCCTTTTAACTGGCACAAAAACTGACACCTTTATTCAAGGCATCATGTTTGCAATAACCACAACACAAGCAGTCAAAATGCAAACAAAAAAGACAACTCTGATAATAATATGCACTGTCCTTGAATTTGATTGGTCTACACCCGAGACAGCTTTTCTTAGAGCCTAGTCTCCATTGGTGTTAAACCAAAAGACGCCTAAAAGGCGTACAAATCAAAAACAGCACACTATCAGAGTATTGAGGGCTCGGGGTGAGCATTTACATTATGAGACCTCCTTTGCCAGAAACAAGATATAGGAATAGGTTTTACCCTTTTAACTGGCACAAAAACTGACACCTTTATTCAAGGCATCATGTTTGCAATAACCACAAGACAAGCAGTCAAAATGCAAACAAAAAAGACAACTTTGATAATAATATGCACTGTCCTTGAATTTGATTGGTCCACACCCGAGACAGCTTTTCTTAGAGCCTAGTCTCCATTGGTGTTGAACCAGAAGACGCCAAAAGGCGTACAACTCAAAAGCAGCGCACTATCAGAGTATTGAGGGCTCGGGGTGAGCATTTACATTATGAGACCTCCTTTGCCAGAAACAAGATATAGGAATAGGTTTTACCCTTTTAACTGGCACAAAAACTGACACCTTTATTCAAGGCATCATGTTTGACGACAATGCTACCGTGGCATGACGACAATGCTACCGTGGCATGACGACAACGCTACCGTGGCATGACGACAATGCTACCGTGGCATGACGACAATGCTACCGTGGCATGACGACAATGCTACCGTGGCATGACGGCATGCTACTGTGGCATGACGACAATGCTACCGTAGCATGACGACATGCTACCGTGGCATGAGGACAATGCTACCGCGGCATGATGACAATGCTACCGTGGCATGATGACAATGCTACCGTGGCATGACGACAATGCTACCGTGGCATGACGACAATGCTACCGTGGCATGATGACAATGCTACCGTGGCATGATGACAATGCTACCGTGGCATGACGACAATGCTACCGTGGCATGACGACATGCTACTGTGGCATGACAACATGCTACCGTGGCATGACGACAAAGCTACCGTGGCATGACGACATGCTACCTTGGCATGACAACAAAGCTACTGTGGTATGACGACAATGCTACCGTGGCATGACGACAATGCTGCCGTGGCATGACGACATGCTACCGTGGCATGACGACATGCTACCGTGGCATGACGACAAAGCTACCGTGGCATGACGACATGCTACCGTGGCATGATGGCATGCTACCGTGGCATGACGACAATGCTACCGTGGCATGACGACAATGCTACCGTGGCATGACGACAATGCTACCGTGGCATGACGGCAATGCTACCGTGGCATGACGACATGCTACCGTGGCATGACGGCAATGCTACCGTGGCATGACGACAATGCTACCGTGGCATGACGACAATGCTACCGTGGCATGACAACAAAGCTACTGTGGTATGACGACAATGCTACCGTGGCATGACGACAATGCTGCCGTGGCATGACGACATGCTACCGTGGCATGACGACATGCTACCGTGGCATGACGACAAAGCTACCGTGGCATGACGACATGCTACCGTGGCATGATGGCATGCTACCGTGGCATGACGACAATGC